AATAAATATTATCAAAATTTGGTTACTATTACTAAATGGTAGACGTAAATATAATACTTATTAATTAATTTAGTTCTGTAAAATAAATTATTTCTTTGACAGAAGTAAAATTTATTTACTTCCAGAATATATTTGGTAAATAAAACTTATTGAATAGTTGAGCAAAATAAGCGATTTTGTAATAGTTACAAAATTTTTGGTAGGTTCAACCAACCATCTGTAATAATAGATATTGAAACGATGTAATAGCTGCAAATGAATGAATTTTTCGTTGTGCTGCAACAAAACAAACTTATACTGATAACAAAATAGAACTCGTACCTACTGAATCTTTTAATAAGAATTTCATAATAATTATCAAATATCTGTTCATAACTCTCTCTCTCTCTCTCTATAAGATATTTCATATTAAATATTTAATATTAAGTAACTATTACACTAAATTATTTAATTAATGTTCCTGTGAATGCAATTACGTCATACTCCCGATCTATTAAATATTTGGTAATTATTATCACACTTAGTATTAGTTACTAAGGATTCAACGAATTTCTGTAACTAAATGCATTTTGTTATAGTTACCAGTCTTTTCTCTCAGTATATATATACTAATTTGTAAAGACGTCGGTGCTATAAAAGAGTAGACGCTGAAATCGTGAGATATTTGGAAGAATGAAATTTTTCAAAATATGTCGACGAATTTAGAAGTAAATATATGAAGATTACAGTAAGTATATGAAAATTATATATAATATGGTTAGATTTTAGGTTAGGTAAGAAGTCTAACACTACTGTATTCATAACATTAACCAAATGAATTGTATGCTGTACCAGACGGTTTGGTAAACGTATTTAAGTATTATTGTAATGCTATTTAAACAATGCGCTCACCAGATAATTTGGTATCATTGATTAAATATCTTGTTACACGATTATTCACCATATCGTTTGGTAAATCTAAATAGAATTCTGGCTACTATCATCAGACATTTCCCTCAGTGCTTTCATCGATAAAAGTGTCCTCTGATCCTTAAACGTGCCTTTTGCTAAGCCTCCTGATTATTTTCCAGTTTCACATTTAGAGGCACTTTTAAAAGGGACCCAGAACAAGGACAGAGCTAATGGAATGTTTCCGACGAGTTTTAGCGCGCTTAAAGCCTGACCTACGATAAGTTCTGTGCTTCCTGTTTCTCATTCTCTTCTTCTTCTGGCTTAAGGCTCAAGTTCAGAAGGAGATATAAAGAGAAAGGAACAGGAAGAGAGCACATTGTAGATCAGACTCGACGTAGCGCTAAATTTGAGCACTAAACGCGGATGCACACCTAGCTCGTTGGAGGTAATCTGACATTGCGTTAACGCGGCAGCGACAATTTCTCCACTTGAACCGAACCAACGCTAAGAGGATGTCCGCTGGCGATCCTCGCGATTATACGTGTCACTGGGTCGCAATACTCGCACGCAGAGCGCGAACCCGCGTAACTTCTGTCATTCCGTCCGACCGTGCGATGTAACAGAACGAACGGCACTTCTGCGATTACGCTAATTAAGAGAGACCTAGAGAACGACTCGATACGCGACACGACTGTGCGTCACACCGCATACGGTGCACGTCGCGTCGTCGTCCTCGTCGTCGTCGTCGTCGTCGTCGTTGAAGCGAGAAATTGAGAATCGACTCGCGCTCTATGTCGGATGTGCAATTATGCAAATGTGTGTATAGAAAATATACGAGATGTGTCGCGTCAGCGATGCACGTCGTCGAGGTGATTCGTTTCGTTTGAGCCACTGCGAATCATTCTGTGGCACGTCGCACCGTGAAATTGATATCCCCGCGACTATAATTCGAACAATTGAAAGAAATTCGTGTGGGACGTGGAGAAACGAGAAGCGGAAGGGTGTTAGCGATACACGTACACCAAGTACGACACGTCGGGTTTCGCGTCATTACCGAAAAGTATCGTTAATACGTAGTAAAAACGTAGTCCCCCTCGCGATCATAAGCCCGACATTAATAGTCGTTACTTGAAACTGGTCTCGCCTGAGATACTCAGATCTAAATTTAGAGTTGGAGCTTTTCGATTAAACCACAGGATATACGTGACATTATATTTGTGGTTGTAATTCAGAGAAATTCACATCTAACTATGGAGCCCGTGCTAATAATTATGTTATTGAAACTCGTCTCAAGTGAAGTAGTCTCAGGCTTGTATTAATAGTCGTTACTTGAAACTTGTCTTATGTGAAATACTCACATCTGAATTTAGAATTAGATCTGAGATTCTCAGCTGAATCGCAATTGTAAATTGTCACATATATAATTCAAATAAAAAGCTCTTATCTATAACTCTAAATTCAGATCAGAGTATTTCACATAAGACAAGTTTCAAGTAAGGACTATTAATACGAGCCTGAGTACTTCACTTGAGACGAGTTTCAAATAACATAATTATTAGATATTTTAGGCATAATTATTAGTACGGGCTCCATAGTTAGACGTAAATTCCTCTGCTGAATTGCAAATATAATGTCACGTATATCCTATGGTTTAATCGAAAAGCTCAGATCCAACTCTAAATTTAGATCTGAGTATCTCAGGCGAGACCAGTTTCAAGTAACGACTATTAATGTCGGGCTTATGATCGCGAGGGGTTTTTACCGTATTAACGATACTTTTCGGTAATGACGCGAAACCCGACGTGTCGTACTTGGTGTTTTGCTAACATCTTTCCGCTTCGTTTCTTCACGTCGTTTCTTTCAATCGTTTGAATTATAGTTCGAACAATTGAAATTGTCCGAATTATAGTTCAAATTGTTCGAATTATAGTTCGAATTATAGCGAGGATATCAATTTTCGGCCCCAAAATGGCTTAATCCCTTAATTGAGACAAGTTTCAAATAACAACTATTAATACGGACCTCAGGCCTGTATTAATAGTCGTTACTCGAAGCTTGTCTCGCGTGGGATCTCACCTGAAGCAAGCATCAAGTGACGACTATTGATACAGACCGCACACAGGCGCGATCATGCGGGTATCACGCGAGGTATCGCGTTGGTATCGCGAGCGATCGTTCCCAGAGACGACGTCGCGCGCGCGAATAATCGTCATAGCCGTGAAATTTTCGCCGAGCTGCGACTTTCGTTGCTCAAGGATGAACGATCGTCTCCGTGTGCGCCCGCTCTCTCGTTCCGCGAGAGTCGCGAAAGTGTTAACGAGCCGCGTCGCGAGACAACAGAACGGCTGGCTGTATGTGTGTTACGGAAAAAAATAATTTGCTGCAGCAGCAAACTAATTTCCTACATATGGACAGTTAAATATAATTCGCTGTGTTAGCTACTTTTTCTTTGCTGCAGGAACCTATTTTCTTACTATGATAACAAGAAAATCTGCTCTTACAACAAGAAAAGTGGCTAATTTGCTACAGATGGACAACTAAACATAATTTACTGCTTTAGCTACTTTTTTGTTGCAGTAACAGATTTCCTTGTTATTATAGCAAGGAAATTGGCTCCTGCAGCAAAGAAAAAAGTGGCTAATACAGCAAATTATGTTTAGTTATCCATATGTAGCAGATCTTTTTTTTCGTGTACGTACACGGAGAAAAGTAATTTTGCTCTTTTAGCAAAATCGTCGTTGCTACTGCATATTCGTAATGACATCAAAAAAATTTTGTCGATGTAACTAATTTTATGTTATCAGAGCAGAAGTTTCGTTGCCAGGATAGAAAAAATTTATTTATATTATTTGTCCTAAGAATCACGTTAATTTGTTATTGATGCAAAATAATGTATTCTTAGCAAATTTATTTGTTATCAGAGCAAAACTGCAACTGCTTGTATGAATCCAT